ATCTGCTTTTGTTTTCAAAATGCTAAATAAACAATACATAATGCATCCCTCATCAGCCAAAACCATGAGGGCTCTGTGCTCAAATAACAGGAAACATATTCAATTTTCCTAACAGAAGACAGTTCATTAAGCTGTGCCACATCAAATAAAACTTTAATTTCTCCAGCATCAGAGTCGCAATGAAAGCAATTGAGGAAGATGAGCCATATGGTACTTCTATCAGCAAACACATATTGCTCATTCCCCCAAAGTTTTCTAATTCTGCTCCCCAGACCTGTGTAATATAGATAATGTGCTCTGAGCGCAGCAACCATGAGCTATCTGGTGTACACTTCTAATACTGTATTTAATGGGAAATAATGAATCATAAAAGCCTGCAGAAGACGGCTTTTGCTAACCTAAATCTCAGCTGTAATTTCATTGTTCTGTGCCTAAGATGCTGTTTGCCCTTTTCAAACAACAGCAGTTGAACATAATTATGCTGCTAGAAACCTGGGCTGCAAAAAGAAAGCCTTCCTAATATCACCAAGTTTTTATTAACTCTTGAAATCCTGTGCTTGGGGGAACCGCGGGCAGAGAGTTTAGAACCCTAAAACTCTCTATTAGGTTTTAGGGTTCATTAAAGCACACATATGTGTATATCCCGATTTTCAGCACGCAGCCCCACAAATTAAATTCACGACTCTCACATCGGGCCAAAAACGCAACAGGAGAAGTCTATGAGAAATTAGGAAATCTTTTTGACATCGGGAAATCCGACACTTGCCTGCTCTAACATCTGTAAGTGCCAAAGCCACAGAACCTAGTAAAAGGGGGATTTTTTTTAAAGGTAAGTCTATTTTTCTTCTTCTTGCCAGACATAAAAATTGCGGTTAGTGCCTTGAGTAAAGGGCCCTCTAAACTTTATGCTGTTTATGCTCTGTTTATAAATCCGTAATGATATTGTAAGGTTAAAAGTTAAACAGTACTGTATTTTCTCTGCCTTTTTCTCATCTGCCTCTTAGAAAGTAACCTGTGTATCTCCAAGACAGTATTGGGGTTGTTTCCTGAGGAAGCCTATAGGTAAAGAGATATTCACACATTCACACGGGAGGATTCATAAAGGCAGGGTGAGAATATAAAGGTATTATTTTGACATGACAAGCCCTGCTTGGAAAATGTCTTCGACTCATCCAAAGTAAGCCTCTTTCTTTCCTCCCCTCCCCGTCCCCCATCCCCAAAATACGGGGCTAATTTAAAACATTGTCTAGATATGCTACTTATACATATTGAAAACATATTTTAGTGGCTGTGTTTGTTTTGGCAATATATGAACCCCCCCCCCAAAAAAAAAAAAGCCAATTAAATTAAAAAGAGCGACTTTTAAAAGGTAGAGATTGCCTTTTAAAAGCTTATTAAAATCAGCATGTTAGATGTCTGTCTTTGAATTAGCTCAGAGGCTTGATTGCTTTCATTAAAGCTGCCTGTTTGGGTGCTGCTTGGTGAATGTTCAAGTCTGTTTTTCCCCCCCCTCTTCTTCCCCCCACCCCGAGCTGCTTCTCACTACTTGTCAGCTTGGATTTTCCCTCCAAATTTGAAAGCAAAACTGATTTTTTTTAGAGCAGCAACAGCCACCCTCCCTTGCAAAGCACAACAAAAATCACCACCAACCCGAGCCAGAGAGAGACCAACAGGTAAAAAAACCCCATTAAAAAACAGCTAAAAAGAAGCAAAGACACCCTCAAAACACCCACCCTGCCCAAACCACCCCCTCCCAAAAATTCTCCACCCAAAGCCACCACAAACCCCAAGCCATCACATTGCTCATAGCCCATGAATGCCTTAAAAACAAATGTTTAAACAGGTTTTTTTTTTTCTTGAAGCGGCGGGTAGAAAACCTCTGCATGCTCCAATGGGTTACAATAACAATGCTCTATTGCAATGTAAAACAAGCTGGAGGAGAAAAAGGTGCTTTTTGTTACCATTTTATCAAAGCTGTTCATCTTCTAGCTGCAGGCAGCATTTTGCTGGAATTGCAGATATTTCTCTGTCCGGGCTCCTTTGTTTGTGCATCTCATTTGCATATATTTATCTCCAGCTGAGGGTGCTTTCAGCTCATTAAGGCCTCCCCTCGCATTATTTCATAAGCCAGCTGCTAGGAGGGATTTCACCTGTGGTGACTGAGAAAAGAGGGGTGAAAAAACCAAATTCTTCATAAAAAAAACACAAACCAACAACCAAGGAAATCTTCTGACTCTCTTCCCCTATAAATGGGCACCATTTGTGTTAAACAGCCTCTTGTCATGATAGATGCCTCCTGGGGTCAGGGGGGAAAGTTGATTTGAAGGTCAGCAGTAAAACAACAGACAAACCAGACGCCAAACTGGTTCCTTAGCTGTCGGTGGGAGCAGCGGTACAACCAGGTCTTGAACCTTTTTCAACCTCTAATAAAACAGGGGAAGAATCTGAAGTGGAGCAACCAGGCCCCAGAGGAAAAAGAAAAACCAAACCCACAAATAATATCAATATCGAGCAGCAACGGGAAACAACAGGGCAGCTCTCAGCGTTACGGGCACGCTGCTATTGTTTCAAGAGCCGGGGAATTAATTCCACTTATTTATTTAAGGCGTGTCAACTCGCTGCCTAAACCTGTTTCGGTGTCAAGATGAATAAAACTTTTATGGCTCATAAAATAGAGCCATTCATCTCAATGGTCTTTGTGGTGCCTGGGTTCGTTCCCCCCCCCCCCCCCCCTCCTCCTGGCAGGCTGAACTGGGCCGAAATCTTGGCGTCCCGGTGCTACCAGCTTGCTCCTAGGAGCAAAGAGAATTTGGAAGGGGCATTGCAAGCTCAGCTTCTGGGTTTGATTACAAATGGTGAACATTAATTCATCATAATCACGTGCAAAAGCCCCCCCCCCCCCCCCCCCTTTATCCCCATCCTAAAACCTACAATGAATTTACGTCATCTATATGGAGCTTTGGACCAACAGGTAATAAAATACAATAAAGCATGCTTTTTATCAGGAAAAAAAAAGTCCCATTAATTATAGTTCATGACTACTCTAAACCAAATGTTCAAATAGTAGTTGGAAATGATGCATAAAATCTCAGCATGTTCTGATAGGTTATAGAGTCAGTGGTTTATTGCAATGTAAAACAAGCCACAGGAAGAGAGGGTGGTTTTGTTTACCATTTTCATCAAAGCTGTTCATCATGTTGATATACTTATGCTATATCGTGACCCCTACATACGTTGCATTTCATTTATTTATTTTCCAGGTTGTTGCCACTTCTGCTGCCTTTGCTTTGGAGAAGTCAAGTAATTCTCTGGCCCCTTTGAAATATGTCTCATCTGCACCGAATTTCTGCCAACAAACCAACCCATAGATACGGATGTAAGAAATATTTATTATCATCGAGTCAGGCTTTCTTTTACTTAATCTGAGGCAATTAGTACCTGAATAAACACAGACTAAGTAATCTACCTCCTCAAAAGGTAATTAGACTTGAAAAGCGCTGTTCAGCTCTACCCAAGGAAAGCACGGCTCTGATTAAAACACTTTGGAGATTCGCTTTCATCCTTACTGCCTTTTGCCCTGGAAAACCTTTTATAAAATCCTTGTAACTTTTAATTTCTCCCCATACCAAACCTGAGGGCCACTCTTGGCCATTGCTGCCCTCTTCCACCTCCTCAAATCTTTAACCCCGCTTCTCATTTTTCTTTGCCTCTAATCTAATCGCTAATTCCTTGGCTTGGCCAAATAGTTAAAAATGTTAAGTGCTGCTCACAATTCCTGCTGCCTCCCCCTCGTATCTGTCTCTGTTTATGGAATGGGCCCTGGTTTCCTCCTGCTCTTGTTCAGCTGTAGGTCTGCAGGTCAGGAGACTGTAAATACACACAGTGCTGCCCCAACCCATAAATCTGAGCAAAGGGCAGCCTTATATATTCAGATAAGGGATGCAAGGCAGGGGGTGGAGGGGGGTTGAAGAAAAGGAATGGAAGAGAACAGGCAGACTCTGTGATGAAGGAGGCACTTCGCTAGTGACAAAACCTGAGGTGCCAGCAGGCGCTGGGGGTAAGCTCTGCAGGACAGAGAAAGGAAAGCTCTGCTGCCTTGCCGGATGTGCCAGTGAGAGATGAACCTGAGATGTTTGCCCTTCTCCCACCCCTCCTTGTTTAGATACAAATCATTACAAAACGCATTTTATTACTTTTGGGGCAACAAAATTAAACAAGAGGTTTTCGATGGCTTTCTCTCCTCCAGACCTTTGTTGGTCTATTCCCTACCCCCCCCCCCCCATTTTATTTCCAGCACCTTTGAAGCTTTCAAGGGAACAGTCCCCCCTGTTATTGCTTCTCAGTTCCAAGGTCTTAGAATAAATAACATTGTTATTACTCACTTCACCAATTTCCAAGAAGAAATATTGCTGCAGCAAATGCGAGCAGCACTAATATTTGCAAAGTGATAAATGGATTGTTACATACCTTCCCGTCTGTGTGGCCTCCAGCCATCCTCTGGCCAGCTACATCCCTCCTCAGGGCAGGAGGGAGGGTGCCTTTGAACTTAGCAGGGTCCAGACACTCAGTGCCTTGCACGAGAGCCTGCCCTGAGCCTCCTCCCTTGCCCTCGGATGGAAAGATGATTTTTAATGGCAAGACCATGCAGGAAGTGGTACCGGCACAGGGAAGGACAGGAGCCATGTACTGGCACAAAGCAGCCAAAAGTGAAGGTGCTTTTGGCACAACGATTTTGGTGGGGTTTGTTAGTGCTGTGTGCTGCAGGGAGAGGGGTAAGAGGCTTGGGACATCCCTTGCTGGTGTGGAGTACCACATCTCCAGTGTCACAGCAAGAGCCACCTGCCCTCCTCTGGGTGCCAGCGATGTGACTGATTTTATTTCAAACAAAATCTCCAAATCAAATTATTCCTGGGATGCAAGTCAAGCTGAAAAACACCCTGGATGCGTGGTAATTAAAATCTAAGAAAAATATTTTACTTCAGACCCAGAAAGAGTAACCTGCTGACATTCCTTAGACTGAGTCTATTGCATTTCAAAGACATGGTCCACAGGGTAGGGGCTGGAAGGGTTTGATCAGTTGATTTTAATGTCTTGGCCAGGATGAACACCTTCACCTTAGGTTATCCAGGCACCAGATGTGATGAAAAAGCTTGTTAAAAGCTGTGGAAAAGCAGATTTCCTCCACAGGGCAAAACTTGAGCTGCTCTGGGAGCATCATCCCCTTTTCCCCAGCGCTGATCTGGCATCATCTTTGTGGCTGGAGCACCATCAGGGGTGGTAGGAGTGAAGGGGTGAAGGTATCCTTCATTACATTACCCTCCCTTGCCCCCCTTTACTTCTTAGGAGGCTGGTAGAAGCCATAGGAGACACTCAGCAGTGTGTGCAGGTCTCATGTAGAGGTTAAACACAGCATTATCAGCATCTACATGGTGTCAGTTCAAGGTGGGAGGAGGTGAAGGATGCATGCAAAGGTTTCAGCAACCTGGGGTGAAGGTGTTGGCACAGTTTGGCAGTGATAGTACATGGATAAGTCTGTGCCCAAGGGGATGGGGAAGGTGGGAGGCTGAAAGGCTAGGAATATACATTTGTTTGTTTGTTTTCCTAGTGAGTACCTTTATCTATAAAAGAACGAAGGGCTTTATTCATACACTGGGATTCATACACATACATTCTGGGATCCCAGGAAGGAAATCACCCACAAACTGTGGGCAAAGGTACGAAAGGATCAATCAGAATAGGTGGCAAAAATACATGTGACAGTTTTTCCTCCTGGCCAAGGTAAACACCATCTTTTCTTTCTTTGTAAGATGAGAAAAATTAAAAGGAAGGCCGTAAGTTACATGATAGAAAGTCTTTGGGGATAGGCTCTCATGCAAAGTACATACAGTTCAACAGAACCGATAAAATGTCTGGTTTTGCTTTCTGTCTTGGTTTCTGATCAAAAAATTAGGATACTTTTTTATTCATAATGCTTTCTCATAAATGTATATGTGCACGTGTATGTTTATACAGCTGTAATTAGGCACGTACCTATATGTACATACATACATAGATACGCACATATTTTCCTATTTGTAGCTGTACAAATGTACACACATTAATAGGTGCATGTGTACACACACATACACAATGTACACTCACACCTACATGTGCATGTTATACACACACCCCTAAAGCCCCAGCTTGCCACAAGTGAGAAACAACAAGGGATCCAAAATTATTTAAGGGGAAAAGTGATGAAAGCAAGTAAGATCTGGGGCAGTGGTGTTGTGGGGAGGAACCCTACTGCTTGGAAACATCCAGAAACCTCCCTAACATCTACCGGCACCTTTCCCAATGCCAGGAGCAGCCCCAGGAAATGCTGCTTGAGGCACTGAGGGCTGGGAGTGCCTCAAGACCCTGTTTTCTTGAGCGTTTCCTGCCAGGAAGGAAGCCCTGTGAGAGCAGCATTGCTTGTGCTGCTCAACTTCCAGCCCCAGGCAGCACGCAGGTAGTAAGAAAAAACCCAAATAATTGAATAGATACAAAGCATCTACATTTGTATGAACAGCAAGCTTTCAAAGGGGGAAAAAAATCAGGTCTTCCTTTTTTTATTATTTCTTTTCCTCAAACCTCAGAAAAAAAAATTAATGTCAAGGCAGTTCTTATTTTATCCAGACCAGTTCATAAATCCCAAGTCATAAATCCACATGATATCCCGGGCTGCTGGATTTTGCATTTGGAGCTCTGAAAGACCGATAGCTGAAAGATTTATAAAATCCCAGGTAGCCGGAGTGCTCCCTATTGGCTCCACATCTGAGGGGTCCCCGCGTCCTGCTTAGCCCAGCAAGCTGGATGTATGGGATATATTGTGCTCGAGCACCAGCCCCCTCCCGACCCCCACATCTCCTATTTTCAGCTATGGTGAAGGCTAAAATTTGGTCATTTGAGGTGGATGGGCCCTCTTTAGGGACCTTTCCACACAGACATAGGGACAGACAGAAGATGGGGATGCCGGGAGCCTCCTGCAAAATAATACCATGGATTATGTTTTAGATGTATGATTTAGCTTGCATGGGAGACCTGACTATAAACAGCAGAACTGTTTCAGTTGCCTTGAATATACATTTAATTTTGCTCCTTGCAACGTCACTGAATAGGAGTTCAGAAAGAAGAGGATATCACTTCTGGGGCCAGAAGATAAGGTACTTAGAGGGGAACAGGACCAGTCTCTTAGCAAGAAAATAGTAGCTGAGGTGCTTCAGACAAAGTACATGCTGCAAGCAATTTAGCCAGCAAAGCAGCATGTTCATGTTCCCCAAAGTGCGCTGAAAGATGCTGATGTGGTCTTTTTCATAGGTTCAGTGCATGTGAGACCATGTGTCCTGGGACAGAAGTCCCCCAAAACAGACCCTCTGAAGAGTGACGGGTACTATTTGTCTGCATCCATAGGATGCTGAAAACACACTTAAAACCTTCCCTCAATTACTTTCCTCTATCCTTCCTTGATGACCTTATTCAAACTTAATATTTATCTCCAGGCTTGCAAGGACAGACATTTTTAATATGCTTCTGTTGCATTAATAAAAAGATTTAAAAAAGCCCCTCTTCTGCAGTTACAAGAGTTTCTTTATAGCTGTGAGGATATTAAATAACATCTTTGTTACTGAGAAACAAAATTATTTGCTTTATGTTTGAACTATTTATGGGTCTGAGTTCATTGACGTCTATGAAGGAAAATCCTCCTTCACCCTCCCAGGGAAGGGCAGTGGATTCAACCTGAAGCCAGTTCTGTCTGGCTGGTCCTTTATTAGAAGCACATTGCTCAGTTAAATTTAGGTATTTTTAATGGGGTTTTGTTGTTGTTGTTTGTCTGTTTGTGTTAGTGGGAATTAAAGCATTGCAAGTTTATGCTTCCTGCGTTTCGAGAGTATCTGCCTTTGACCATCCACCTTAAGCAAGCACCGTGAGCAGATTGGCTTGCATGCCACTGATAGCTGCCTGCCTCCAGCACGCTTTCTCCTCATCAAAATCCCCAGGTTCATTAGAAACAGTTACTCATTTAAGAGGTCAAACTAAACCAGACACAAACAGACCAAAGCATTTACATTAGGACTATGTCAGACTCACGGCAGGAGAGGTTCTCCCTGGTTATTCTTGAAATCCAAAGCTTTCCCAAGCTTGTTAGTGGCTCCCACGAGGTATCCTTCCCCCTCTCAAGCAGAACATACTTCTTTTTAAACCTCAAACTCCCGTGGACTAAATTTATGCCGTATTTCATCTTTTTTTCCTGCTTTCTTTTTATCTCTCTTTCAGCTGGGTTTGACTCATCATGAGTTCACAGCTGTTGAATGCAAGGCGGTGTGGCTAGGGATGGGGTTCAAAAGTGCTGCCTGGACCAGTTATTGCCCAGCCCATCCAGGCTCTGGGCTGCACCATTGCTTAATCCACCCTGGCCCTACAGGCCAGGTAGCCCTGTCCTGCTTGGGAATGCTGTTTTGCCTCTTTGGCATTTATAGCATCTTTGATGTTGTTCAATGCTCTACAGGCACTGGGTTCGGTAGCTTTACTTTTCTGTACACGCCCAAGCCCCCTGACTTTATTGATGCCATTTATGTTGAAATGATTAGGTGGGATTTGCTGGTTGCTCATCAAGAGATTGGGTTGAAATGAGTCCCCTGGTGCAGAGGAGCTACTACAGCAGGGTGAAGGACAAAAGCTTGCTACCGTCTGTTGATCAGCCCCTTCCCACTGCCTTTCCACTTGCGGTATCTTTGGGAGCAGAAGATTTCTTTCTCTTTCCAAACAGAAACTTGGGATGTAGCCTCTGACCAAACATTAATTTTTTTCTGTTTTAAATGTGCAAGTTATCTTAAAGTTTCATTTTATTAAGAACATCCACAATAGCTCTTTTCTTCCCTCTTTTCTTCTGTTTCCATTTTGCTAATTAAAAATGCTGTACAAGGACTAGTATTGAGCTATAGAAATGAAAGGTCAATACATGAACAACTCTTCATTTGTAAATAATACAGCTCTGTAATCAATTATCTCATTTTCACAGAAGACATATTAATCTAAAAGCAAAGGATGGAGACATTTAGAAGATGTACAGAGGGGATCTTTAAATGTTAAATGTTCTTTAGCATGTGCTAAATAAAGGTTTGGCAGAGTGAAAATGTAGTGCACAGCACTGACACTCCAGGGAGAGCCTTTAGGTCAAGTGATTTGTACCTTCAAAATAGTTCTCCATAGCACT